AGGTAGCAGCTGTTTGTAGCCTCCAGGCTGTAGCCAACCCTGGCTCTGGGTAGCTGCTGATAGCCACGGAGCCCGGGCTGCTCCCAGCAGGGCTTGCAGCATCCCAGCTCCCTGCTGGGAGCAGCTACCCAGAGTTGGAGCCAGCTGCAGCCAGGAGGCTGCAAACAGCTGCTGCCTCCCTGGCCCCAACACATGCCAAGGAAAATGGCCTCACATGACATGCTTGGCATGCATGCTGGGGGTTGCTGACTCCTGAGCTAGACCATTCTCAGTCGTGGCATATGACAGAAAACGAAGCAGTGGTCTCAAATTGCACCAAGGGAAGTTTGAGGTTAGGTATTAGGAAAAACTCTCACAAGGAGGGTACCCAGAAAGGTTATGGAATCTCCATCCTTGGAGGTTTTTAAGATTGAGCTGGACAAAGGCTTGGCTGGGATGATATAGTTGGGGATGGTCGTGTGGTGAGCAGGGGTTGGACTAGATGACCTCCTGAGGTTCCTTCCAACCCTAACTTGATTCCATGTAAGTTTTATGAGGAACAATGAATGGTCTGGACAACTTTCAGTGTGTAGAGAAAGCCTTTTCACTGAATTCGTTATTGCCTTCCAATAAAAACTGCATTTTTCATGGAATCTCAAGTTTTGCAACTAAGAAGATTGTCCCAATTGCTGGGGGGTGACCTAAGACAACAAAATGGCATCAACCACTTCTAGAGTCCTCTGCAAAGGAGATCTTGTCAGTAGTTGAATCTTATAAGGGACATAAACTGCTTCCTGCAATTTTAAGGCAATTGTCAGCAACCCTATAAATATGCTCTAACAATGAACTCATGTTTCACCAGGAATGCTCAGCTTGAAATTTGGAATTGTAAAGTCAGCAAAGAATGATTCTGCTGAGTGATGCTGCCAATTAGCCCATCCATGCAGCTAGTTGATACTGCTTCCAGTTTAGCAGACAGTGCATGTTTGAGGATACTGCTAGCAGGGACAGTAAGCTTACCATATACATCCTTGTTCCTTAGGAGACCAAGATATAAATGTACTAGCCCATATGATCCTGAGACTTAGTTGGACTGTGCAACTAACCTATTTTTTGAAGAGGAATTATTAGGTAATGACCACTTTGCCCATTACCATAGCTTAACTTTTCCCTCTTCATGAACCAAGTGGCTAATTCCTTGGGTAGTTAGTATGACACTGCTTAACTTGGATCTGTGCATGAGGATAACTTGTTTACAGGCACAGATCAAATGGACACTGCTAGTAAAATGCCTGTTCGTAGGCATGTGGATCGCACACACCATGTATTCACACATCTCAAAGAACTGCAACATGTCTATGACTGAAAGAAAAAAATATTTATTTGTTTTTATATATCTATATAAAATAAGGCAATTCCAAAAAACAGCCTCTCAACACTCCTCTAACATTCGGAAGATGTAGGCAGCCCTATCAAGTCGGAAATGGGACAAGTGGGAGCTCTATGACAGATCAATCCTCAGTAGCTAGTTGAAATCTTACGCACAAAATGAATCTGAACTTGACTGGAGAAGCTTGCTGCAGACTTGGTATTTTTTTCCCCACTTTTTAAGAAACAGTTTTTAGATCCCTTTGTTGAAGTTCTTTTTCTCTGGCGAGGAGAAAAATCACCATCCCAGGTTCAGTTCTGTGTTGTCTAATAGCCAGATCTTCCTTTGCCTGGGGTTCAGTTTCTCTGTTTGTAAAGGGGAGACTCTGCGGCACTTGGGTTTCTGTTTTTCCCCTACGTGAATGGGAGACTTTCATCCATAAGGACTTGTTTGCTCTTCAATGAAAGCAAACAGCATAATGGGCTGCCTTTGGGGTTTTGTCTCTTTCTACGAAAAAGAGGTTTCCTGCCACTTGGGCTTCAGGTTCTCCTTTCCCGAGGTAAGGAGCTCATCCATCAGCCTCACCCTTGGTGGAGGGGCGGCCCCTGAGCTTCGGCCTCACGCGGTGCGAGTGAGCGGCTCCTCGCCACGGAGCCGCCTCACACTGTCTGAATGCGGCGCTTCTCGCCCTCCGGGCTCTCTTCCTCCCTGCAGTGGGGCAAGACGACCTGCGAGTCGAGCGCCTCTTCCTCGCGGGGCCTGACGAGCGGCGGCCCCCCCCTCGAGCGCCTGCCCGCCTGGGAGTGTACCGAAGTCACGAGGCGGGCCGAAGCGCTGCAGCTGAAGCCGGTGGCGGCGGCCGCTAGGGCGCACGCCAGGATGCACATGAAGAAGCTGGGCCCGAAGGTGGAGGTGAGGCGAAGGGGCTGCAGTTCCTTCTCGGTCTGCAGCCTGCTGCGCGTCACCTCGAAGAGGCAGGAGCACAGCGCCGCCGCGCCCAGGGCGAGCAGAGCGGCCAGGCCGTGCAGGAACGGGGCGGCGGCGCAGCGTTGCTGCAGGCCCAGGAAGTCCAACAGCAGGGCGCTGCAGCCGCTGAGGATGGCGACGAGGCAGCAGATCGCTATGGACAGGATGAGGGGCACCCCGGCCGGGCCCAGGAGAGGCGAGTCGGGAGGGGGAGCTATGGGGTTAAGGGCCCAGACCGCTCCCAGCACGAACTGCACCTCGTCGCCGCTGACCAGGACCCAGCTGGGGTAGGCCCCGGCCAGGAACATCAGCCCGACGGCCAAGGCTTGGGCCACGACCGCTGCCAGGCTGCCCGTCCGCCTGCTGCCCGCCAGGCCCCGGAGGAGGCGGCCCGGATCCTCGGGGCCCGCCGTCTCCATGGACCCGGGGCAGGGAGGGCGGAGTAAAGTCGGCTCCGCGCCCGCAGCTCCCGGGCAGCTGTGCCGTGCTGTGCCCCGCCCCCGCCGCGCCGAGGCAGTGCTCCGATGGCCCGGGCGGAGGCAGTGCTAAAAAGGGGGAAGGGGGAACAACCCGCTGCGCGGGGCGGGACGGGGACTTGCTGCAGGCAAATCCGCGACTTCCCCGGCGCCAGGGCCAGGCGCAAGGTTTGCTTGGTAAATAAATCCCCTAAAAGGAGATGCGTCCGCCTGAAGGACTCTGCGGGCTTTTGTCCTTTCTTCATTTTGTTAGTAAGCTAGGGGAGGGGGGCCGGTTTTAACCTTTGCTCTGCCTGTAGAAACATCCGCCAAGGTACAGCCTGACCTTGCCTGATGGTTACAAGGACACAGGTTTAATTTCTTGTAAGCAGCACATGCAGCTAAAAAAACCTAGTGTAGATAAAATTAAAAAGAAAGCTTTGCAGTTACCATTTATTTGTGGAATTACCAGCTTAATAGTTTTTTATTCAACATCACTTTTAAAAAAAGATGTTGTTTGGCAGCCTTTTACATGGAAAAAAAATTCCAGTTACTGAATGGGTTACAGTATTGTTCACATCCAGGTCTCTGGTTTCAGTTGTCATAATCCAAATCAGGTTAGTAGTAATCAAATTTACTTAAAATCCACTTCAGATCAACAGTGACCAGAAGTCATTATGATCTGATAGTGGATCAGTGCTCTGTAGGAATGAGTTTGATTTTAGTTCAGTTCGTTAGCTGGGCATTTGTATTACAAGGTCTGCTGCCATAATTAGCCTGAATTGGCAATCTGAACAGACTAACTGAGCAGGTATGGAGGAGGTTCACCAACTCTCATCCACAAAGGTAAATCCACTCAGAGTTGGAGCTGTGAGACAAATAATATTTATTATGTAAAAATAATTTTATTATGAGAGCCTCTGTAAGCATTAAATTCACAGGAAGAAAAATATCTTTTGCTGCCTACCTTTGAGGAAAATTCATATTTTTGTATCGGCAAAACTGCAGGGTTAATTGAGTGAAACACAAGAGAGAAAGATGTTATGCTTATAGAAGACCTTTTAAAATATTAGTTTTGTATTATCCAAGGCAGATGTTTAAGTATTTTGGAATGATGAGACTCTTAATATTAATTTGCCATTGCACTGTAAGTAATATGATTTGCTGACTTTTTTAAGGCTGCCATAATATTAGTGTCTAAGAATGTGTTTGAATTTTTATTCCCGTGACTTGACAAATTATAAATAAACCAACATAATCCCGTCTATGTGGAAAATGTACACACCACTGGGTATTTGACCTATAATGTTTTTAGGATTATCAGTGTAGCAGATGGTAGATCACAATGCCAGCCACGAAATCCCTCAATGCGTCCACTTTCTAATACTTGCAAACTCTGTTTTTCCCACCTGCTATCCCAGAGCGGAGATGTTCTGGATCTTCCATTTCAATTCCACAGCCTTCAAGTCCCACACTGCAGTCAGAGGCTTCCTGGTCCTGGACTGAATTCTCTTCAAATCCTTGTTCATAGATTCATAGACATTAGGGCTGGAAGGGACCTCGTAAGATCATCAAGTCCAACCCCCTGCCCAAAGGGTAGGAAGTCAGCTAGGGTCAAAGGATCCCAGCAAGATAAGCATCCAAAAGGATACGTTTTTGTTCCTTAGAAGTGCCCAGAGTAGGTGCTTGCACCACCTCTGTGGGGAGTCTGTTCCAGGCCTTGGGAGCTCAGACAGTAAAGAAGCTTTTCCTTATGTCCAGCCTGAAACGGTCTTGCAGGAGTTTGTGACCATTGGACCTTGTCATCCCCTGGGGTGCTCTGGTGAACAGATGTTCCCCCAGATCCTGATGAACACCCCAATATACTTATAGGCTGCCACCAAGTCCACCCCTGAGATGGTGCTTTTCCAGGCTGAAGAGTTCCATAGCTCACAGCCACTCTTCATAAGGCCTGCTCTCTTGCCCTCTTATCATGCATGTGGCTCTCCTCTGGACTCTCAAGCTTCTCCATGTCCTTCCTGAATTGTGGAGATCAGAACTGGATGCAGTACCTCTGCTGCAGCTTCACCAAGGCCGAGTATAACGGGAGGATAACATCCTGGGTCTTGCTCAAGATGCATTGGTAGATGCAAGCCAGAATTTCGTTCACTTTGCCAGCTGCGATATCGCATTGGTAGTTCATGTTCATCTTGTGGTCAATTGTGACCCCCACATCTCTTTTGGTTGCAGCGCTAGTGAGTGTAGCATTGCCGAGCCTATAAGTGCGATGTGGGTTTTTTTCCCCTGGGGTGGAGCACCTTGCATTTCTCTGTATTGATCACCAGCCTATCCTCAAGTGTGGATATTCTTCCCCAAAGTTTGATGTTGTCAGTGAACTTGGCCAGTCCGCTTCTGACACCAAAGTCCAGATTGTTTATAAGGACATTAAAGAGTACAAGTTTGAGATCAGAGCCCTTAGGGGACACCACTGGTCACCGAGTGCCATTTTGATTGGGTTCCATCAACTACCAACCCTCTGGGTCTGACCTCGGAGCCAGTTCCCCAGCCATTGGACTGTAGTGTAGTCAAGACCACAGTTGCCCAATTTTTCCATGAGGATGTTGTGCGACACCAGGTCAAAGACTTTTTTAAAGTCCAAATGTATAATATCAACCTCTTTCCTTTTGTCCAGATGATACGTCACCTGGTCATAGAAGGAAATGAGATTGGTCAGGCAAGACCTACCTGCAACATGGAGCCTTCTGTTAGCCTGTCAAGAATGATTTCTTTGATCATTTTTTGATAATTTCTCTGATGATTTGTTGACCCTCCCTCATTTAATGAAAAAGATTTTCAACTGTGTCTGGAATTTGTGAAAATGCTGAATACTTCCAGTTGATTTTTAGTCCCTAAAGATTAGTAACTGGTATAAGTCTGATCTTACTTCCATTTGCAGATGATAAAAGCAGGTGGCAAAACATCTTTACTTTTGTACTGGTCTTCCCTACTGAGATTAATTTTTACCCTTAACGCAAATGAAAACCCATAGAGAGCATTTTCCTATAAGGCAGTTACCTGGGGAAACGAAATCCAAATAGACCAGCTCTGTATTTGTTCCATTTTGTTTTGCCTTGGGTTTCTTTATTGACCGTGAACAGCAGATGAGGGTTTAATAACTGACTGTAGTGGCATCAGCAAATTAGTTCACCAGTTTCCTCTCCCTGGGCATAAGTAAGTTACTTCATATTGTAAAACTATACTAGATCGCATGCTTGTACGTGACAGTCCTTGTTTAAATTTACAGGTTTAATCCTACTTGCTTGATGATATCACTGATGGTTACCTTGATACTTTTCAGGTGGAGCCCCGATTTTATGTGATAAATACAAATAGCTGCAGTGTATGGAGCTGTGGGCCATTTCCTATGTTACTTTAAAGGCTCTTAAGTGTATTTATCAGGACTCATACATTTCTCATAAATTGTAATTTTAATTTTACTCCAGCAAGTCATCAGTTTGTACAGGACTAGTATTAGAAAACTGCAAAATCACTAGCAGTTGGAAATGCACATAACTTCATAAATATTCAATAGATTCCTTGCATTTCGGATCTACGGTGCATCTCTGCCAGTGTTAGTAGCGACAGAAACACGAGAATAAGTTGGCGAGAGATTTTACTACCCGGTCCTCTTACTCTGGCCAGTTTCCTGCTGCTCCTCCTGCTGTAACCGCAGGGGTGCGACTACTGCAAGAGATGAGAGGATGCGTGCTTTCTTCTTTTTCATGTGCACTGTGACTGCGTGACTTAACTATGAGAGGAGTCTGAGGGAAAGGCCCTGAAGCCTTTGCTTCAGTTGTGCTCCGCTCCCAGCAAACCCTGCAGGCCACCTGAAGGCAGCCCCTCGGCGCTCAGGGAGGAGAGCCTGCACTCGGCCTGTCCGCATTCGCATCAGCCGAGCCAAGGTTTCGCCTTTTATGTCGGAGGGAGAGAATGCGCTTCCGCGCGCGGTGACGAGGCCTGCGGGA